GCCAACAATCAAAAGGCGATACTGCCTAGAGCAGCCAGCAAAAAAAAACGTGTCTTGACATGACAAATGCAAATGCGCGATGGAAGGAGTGTAAAGCATAATATTTTTTTGAAAGGGCATAAAGTATAGCTTGTTAGGCGATCCACGAGTCGCATAGTACGCTAGTTCCGATTGATCAATTTTGGTTTTAAAATTGATACTCGCCTTATTTGGCACAATGATTGAATTATTCATTTCTTCTTTATGACTACTAAATAGCTTTTTTGATATGGGACCGTGGATTGCCTGACTCAATGGCGTAACTCACAAATCAAATAGAAAAGCATGGATAGGATAACAACGTCATCGAGGAAGAACGCTTCAATATGCATCCATGACTAAGCACTTCTTTTCCCTGAAAGAAAGCTGACTGCATGGAGCTAGTTATTTTTAATAAAACACCTTAATACAACTCTTCTTTTGGAGAATCGACTCAACAAGCTAAGATTCCACCATAATAAATCCGTTTTCAAAACATAGTACAAAAAAACGCTCATATACATGCATCCTATGAATGTACACAAGCACGCACACTATCCTATTTAAGAGTACATTTGAGGGGCTAAGAGACCTTGAGATTAGTGAAATCATCACAAACGCCTCGCTATTGGTGAATACGTTGTCTACTACCAAAAATATCATCGTTGAATTCTGAAATAAAACTAAGAAAATATGAGCATTATAGCTAAACAATATTAATGTTGAGAACTGAGTATATATTGGCTAAGATCCTAGTCAACGTTAATGTTAATATTGAGAACTGAGTAATATATTGGTTAGGATCCTAGGTTCGCACCGAGGAGTCTAGTCATCTGGATATGAGACTCGAACTCTGTATGAATTAAGGCCTTTTTTTTGGCACAACTCTATATAGCTCCGACTCTTTGCTAAAGTGCGCGGAGGAGCTGGAGCTGGTAAATAGACCTAAGCATTTTGCAGGCTAGGCCAAAAAAACCCTTGTCTATTTCGTGCCAAAAAAATACCATCCATGACCGTCCCAGTGGATGAATCGGGCCTAATTTTTCGACAGTGTAAACTAGCTAAAATAAATATTTCAGACGGGGCTCGGACCGAGAAAAAAGTTTATGGGTAGCGGGATCTCTATCTAGGCCCTGCCCACTAAGGTTTGTGGGTGGACCAAAATCCAGCGGGCTCAGACCAAACCCGCAAGCTAGGCCGGGCTCATTTTGCTCAGGTCTATGGCTTCTCTGCTCCTTTCATTTTGAGATGAAAGAGAAAAATAGATCTTTGCTACAGTGCACAAAGAAGCCGAAGGTGGAGCCGTCCAACACTCTACCAAACAGAGCCTAAATTTTGGGAAAGAAACAGTACATCAACACAATGAATTAGTTTGGTTGGCTTCTTTTGCGGTAACTATTTAGCACTTTTCTCGCTTCTTCTCTTATGTCATAGATAGAAGATACTCCATCTAATCACAGGAACAATAATGTTGTCCTCTACTTTTATATATATCAGATGTCTGATTTTTTGTTGTTATTGCTCAATGAACATATAATTTTATCATTATTTTACTATTAGAGAAATATAAATTATCTCTTATGTTATATTCTTTTAGTTGTACTAGTTGGTTTTATTCAGTTCTCATATAATATTTTAGTATTATCCTAAGTCAAATTTATCTAATCTTAATCGTGTTTATAGAAAAATGTATTAACACCGATAATACCGAATAAAACACTATCAAGGCTTAATTATTAGTGAATGTAATAGCATCTAATTGATGTGATACATGTTAGTAAATTTCTACATAATTATTAAAATTAGAGAAATTTCAGTTTGAGACAACTAAAATGATCTACAATTTGTAACGGGTGGAGCGACATCTTTCTATGCCTCTTACCTACCACCATTGCTTGATCCCAACATTCATGTGCGTCCTAATCAAATAATTGGACCGCCAGGCTTCGATTAGCCATGCCTTTTACTTTCTCCGGCTGCACTGCAGACGTTAGAAAAACATGGGTTCCCGCGTGCTTGTCCATCGGAAAAATAGCACTTCAATCAGCCTCATGTTCATTTGGCTTATAAGCCGTACTTTTTAGCCGATGAACAGTACTTTTCTTTCACAACAAATCAGCCAACGATACTTTTAGCCACCCAAACGAACAGGGAACCGATAAGCACGCAGTAACACTACTAGTAGTAACACTGTCCATTCGCAGGTGTTCTTTAATTAAAAAAGGGTACCGATAAGCATGATCAGCCTGCTGAAAATGAGTGATCATCAAAAGCACTGTGGAATAAAAAAAATCATCATAACAAAATTGCAAACCAAAAGGTCTTTCCTCCTGTCTTCCTCGACAGCTTTAGTCGATTTGATGAGCACAAAACTAGTGCCAATCTGCAGCACCAGAAAGCACGTCGGCGACGTGCTGGTCGGAGGTGACAGGATGCACGACGAGGATTGATTTTCAGCATTTTCGCTCGTTGGTTTCAGTCAGCCTAAACCAGTCAGCCAATAGTATTTTCCTAAAAAAAAACAGTACTAGCCAGTCCAAACCAGCACCAGCACCATCCAGCGAACATGGCTTTTATCTGGAGGCGAAGGGGGCCGTGCTGTCGATCGTTCTCGTCTCGGCTTTCTTTCTCATCGCCATTTTTCTTAGTGATCTTGTCAAATGTCAATGTATTGGCCTGTGATGATACTCCTTCACTTTTTCGTTGTTGTTGGAATGTTGGTGTTTGGAGACGGTGATCCTTGGCACTTGTGGAAGTGGTGGCATTTCAGATTGGACATGTGCCCCTACACTTTGTGCTGCTTCCACTTGCAGTGCTTCAGAAACCCATGATATTCAGGTGACATCTGTTATTGTTAATTTAAAAAACACTCAATTTTAGCATCCTGTGGTAGTGATCTGCTACTGGAGTACAGTACTACTAAGAGCATACTAGAAGATAGGCACGCGTTGCAAATGTCAGGGGTTGCACTGGAACTTCAGAAATGGCTAGAATAACAGAGGAATTATTCTAGAGGGAGTGATGATTGTAGGCTGGGGCATCATAACGTGTACTGAGCAGGTGCAGCAAAGTATAACTAACAAAATGCAGATTAGATTGCAATTATGATTGAGCCTGGGAATAAAAATGTATACAGTACTACCAGGCTGACAAATCGTAACACCTCTTTTGTCTTGTGCTAGTCAGCAGTGACAGTCATATGCTCGCAAGTATTCTAGTGCACAACTGCTAATTCACCTGCCCATATTTTATGATATTAAAATATGACAGTCGTTAGAAGTTTATCATATATAACCGGGCCTGTCAACATAGTTTCAGTTTGGCAACACTCGAATGGCTGGATAAAATACTGAAAATGCCAAGAGGAACAGATACTCTCGATCACTTGGAGGTCACTTCTGGCATTTCTCTGCACACATCACCCAGCCTAGAGCTGCACACATCATGCGTAGAAACTGGGCTGAGCAGCTGAGCAACACTCGCCTCGAAGCCTTGAAGTCTTCGCACGCATGTGCAGCTCTTCCTGCAGAAGAGGACCGTCCAGATCTCTGAGAAAAAAAGGGCATAACACGGCCGGCTTGGCGTGTTGGTTCAACCAATTGCGATAAACTAAGCACCGCGCGCATGCATGCGAAATTTCCAACGCGATCCGGTGAAGTAATGATGACTTGACCGGGTCAAGATTTCCCACAGCTCCAATCGTGTGACAAGAGCAGAAGGCACAAAGACAAAACAGTGTTCCAGAGTACTCTGATTCCCTTGCGAATTATTGCGCTGACAAAATTCAGTGGTTGCAGTGAAGGCGAGTGTTCGGAACAAGGGCGGGGCATGCCTCCTTGATCCTGTCGCTAGCAAATCCCCGTTGCGCGTCTGCGTGTGTGGTTAAAATTGAAATGCTGAAAACGTCTACTCGTAAGCTTGTAAACCATGCATATGTGATCAGTCTGCTAGAGTTCAGGCCATTGGCCAATCAGTTTTCTCTGCATCAGACATCTCACCTTGGATGATCGATACTGAATCTTTGGTTCATCAGAAATTTACCGGGAGTTTTAGTGGTACTTACGGCAGTTAAATTAATACAAAGACCATATAGCCAGCCCCCAGTCAATCAGTCAGGAACTCAGAACACGTAGATCGGTCTCTACGGCACGTCCTCGAGCGAACCAGCGGAAGCTTGCAAGTTTATATTTTCGCCAAATTCAGCATACGACGGCGGTTAAGTACATCATTAATTGCTTCAAGGCTGCTCAAGCATCGCCGTGTCAGTTGTCACGTCAGCCCTAAGCCTCTCTCCGCGACTGCGACTGCGGCCAGGACCACGATTTCTCGCCCACGAACGTGCGTGCGTGCCCGACAGGAAGAAGGGGGTAATGTTCACGCAAAAGCAACGCATCCGGTTTGCCGTGGATCGGAGGGAGCGGACATCGATCGTCGCATCCCCCTCGCCGAACGTCGCGTCGGATCGGATGGAAGATTTGAATCTTGGTCGACGGCGACGGAAGAGTGAAATGGCGGTACGTCCAGCCGTCCAAGAGATGGGACAGCGCGGAGGGAGGCAACACCGGCGTCAGGCGTGGGAGGAAACCCCAACGAGCGCGTGACGCGTTTTCCCGGGGGGCAATGATCAGCGTCAGCGACGGCCCCGGCAAGTGACGCCTGATGACAAGTCTGACGCTGCTCCTGTCGATTTCTATTTTCTACGTACGTGTTGATGATTGATTTGCAAACACGAAAGAAGCCGAGCGACTAGTATGCACCCCTCATGAATAAAGCCCATGGCGTTTGAGCCCATGGGCCGTAGCCCATATGAAACGAAAGCCTAAAGAAGTAGCAAAACAAAGTTGACGTTCAGACATGAATTTCCATTCTTTTCGTGTGGTTTCGATGTACGAGTGTAGATATTTAAAGAATATAGCATATAACGATCTTTTAGCAGGAAAGAATCAGTGGATTACAGAAAATCATGTTCTCTATCGTCAAGACTATATTGTAGGTCTATGTGGCATGAACTCTTCATGGTTCCTCAATACGGCTGGGGAGATCAGCCTCCAGACTGCAAAGGTGAAGACCTCAATGTTAGCAGCTTCTTAGTTGTCTACAATACAGAACCTTTTAGCAAACATAACTGGATGGCAGACAACGGGGAGTAGGCGACTTACTGTATATGCTAGCCGCGAACCACTCGTTGATGATCTTCACCCATGTACTAGCCCATCCAACATCTATGCTCCACCTGATTATGAAATGAAGGATGTGAGACTTGGAGGATGTAACTAAATCCTTCTTCTGCTGTCTACAATGATGTAGCAAAGGAAAATCACGCAGTATGCCACTGATGACTTGAAATGCGATTTTGATTTGATTCCAGCAGTAAGTATGCATATTGCCACTTAAAATCATATGGACTACTGAGCAGCTATTTAATTGCGTGATGGTAGGATGTCTTACTTTCGTGTTGGATGATTAAGCTCCCAGCTAATGAACAGCATTGCAAAGTACATAGCTCCCATTGCAAACACAATGTGGAAAATCTCATAGCTGTAGGGGGTGTCCTCTTCCAATTGTACTTCATCATTCCGAAACTGAAAATGAACAGTTTTTGTTAATACGCTGGATAAAGGTAGCACTTCTGAGTTCTGAAGAAATTCTTGAAGCCAATAATGATTAACAAGATACAAATTACTAAAAAGTAGAAAGAGAGTACACATGAGAACTGTGATTTGACCAAAAACATGTGAATTATCATCAAATGGTAATTTTTGACACTTTCAAGTAACTTGGCCAATGGTATCCCTAAAGAAGTGGAGTGATTTATTTTTCAATCTCACATGAAAATACCTGCATAACTGCTGAGTGCTGATTGATAACTTATAAACCGGAAGACAGGATCACATTTATATCAGTTGAGAACATCTTAACTACCCAGTGATGCCAGCAAATAAAATTGTGAATATCATAGAGAAAAGTTGAGAGTAATAAGCTTACTTGGAAGGATTTGGTGTCGATTCCAGTAGAAAATGTGGCCATTACAATGGAACAAATTGCGATAATGAAGCTCTAGAAAAGCACAACTTCAATCAGGTAATGTCAATGGCATAACTATTCAAAAGAGCTCTGATCTTTTACTTACAACAATAGTAGCTGAATCACCATCCTTGGCAATTTTCATATGAGAGTGGCACTTCCCGGTTTGCGGCTCACTGCACATGTGCACAGTATGAAATTAACATCAAGCAAACTGAACTATACAAGGCTATGTTAACAGAACAGTGAATGAAAAGAAATATTAGCACAGAATACTTTGCAGTATGGAAGTGGAAACTCTTCCTAGGAATACCAAAACTACAAACTCCTCAACAGTTCCAAGTGACGTAGACTAACCTGTGGAGTGCAGACCAACAAAGGAAGACAATATAGGAACTCATGATCCCAGAAGAGAGAAGACCCTCGTTAACCTTCTCAGCAAACAAAGCGAACTAAAATCAAAACCTCATACATATCAGGCAGGGTAAAAACTCAAAAAATTTACAAATTATTTTACTTGTTAGTTGCCATAAGTGCTCAGATGTGCTAATCGAAACAAGGCTACTATCTGGATTGCAGTTTGATATTCACATCCAAAACCTGACACTGGTTTTCAACTGAACGTAAGCTAAGACCTGGTGCTGCTTGCATCCTCTTACCTTGGAGTGCAGTGATACTGCCATCATTACAGTCACCAAGATTGCTGTCCATGTAATAGTGAAGATGTTGAACGCACAAGAGGAGTTGGGGACATACAGAACATACAGCACGCCAATTCCAGCAAATGAAGCAATGTAGGAGATGGTTGACAAGAATAACCCAAACAACCCACTGAGAATCACATAAGGGTAACATGTCATGGTCAGTTATAGCTTCAGGACCTCTGAAGTAATTGGGACGCCACAACTTCCAGCACAACTAAATCAATCCTTACCATTGATTTGATCCAGGATCTGGCATCCAACGTTTATTGCACCATGATATGAAGTGGAGCATGCTTATGAGCTGGAGGAGGAGAAATATCCTGGAGGGACAATGAAACAGAAGTAACATGCTTACTATAAAAATAAGACAACAATCTGAAAAAAAATGTAAAATATTGTTCATTAGGGCTTGAAACATCCCAAATTTGAGCAATATAAGGACGGCCATTTAAATTACCCGGCACCCAGTCGAGCTATTTCACCTGCAGATAGGACAAAGTAGTTTTCTTTCAGCGTACTAAAATTTAAGTATGGATACACTGGTGCAAATGTATACTAGGACCACTACAACAAATTGAAACTTGCATCTTTGTTTATCATATTTTGAACTTTCCAGAGCAAGGAATTGTGAATTGATTGGCCTTTCTAAGCACTAATTTCTCATGCAAGCTAGGTGCTATGCAGTAAAGCAAAATTTCCAGTCTATAACTACTGCGCATTCACTTATGCCCATCCTATCTTACATCTACAGAGACTACATTTGCCACAGTACTGGATTGAACTTACCATAAAGTTGGATGAAGATGTTAGGGATGATAAATGGGATGCCGATCGACATGGCATACACAAGAGACTTCAGAATCCAGCATCCAGAATGCCATGAATTACGAGCTTCATGGAGCTTGCGAGTTCCAAATGTTGTGGCAAACATCACCCAGAAAAATATCTGAACAGTTTTTAAGGAAGTGAACCCAAGGAACACAGCACACCTTGATCATGCCATTTTAGCCTTTTAGACAGGCTGTTCCAACAGATTTTAGGATTTTAGTTCAAATTTGTAGAGCATACTAGGAAATTGATCCAGAAAACCCCGTTCCAAACGGGCCCTAGTTTGGTTTGGGTCAGGACCCTGAAACACGGTAGTTGAGAACATTCTAGCTACATGCCTCGTATACACAATGGACGCCTATCAGTTGCATGAAGAGAAACGAAACGAACACACACCGTGCTTGTGAAATAAAAAGGATACGAAGCAGCCCAAGCTGACTCGAAGCACTCCTCCGGACTGGAAGCACTTGGAGTCCCCTGCTCCGCAGACCGGCACATCTGAAGGTGTAATGTAATCGGTGAGCACAGTAAGAATGCGACCTCCCTCAAACCGGAAATGCGATGCGAGAGCTGAATTCTGAAGGGGAGGGAAGACGGAAGAGGAACCCACGATGCAGGCCGCGGAGCGCCCTGGCCCCGTAGTCCCTGACGAACCAGGCCAGCAGGTTGGTAGCGAAGAAGACGAACCCGTACGCGTACCGCGCCCGCAGCGACTGCCGCCGCCTCGCCTCGTACGAGCCGCCGTCTCCGCGCGGGTCCGCTCCGCCTGCCTTGATCACAGTCATATCCCCGGCTGCTCAGTGCTCACGCCGCCGTCGTTGCCTCGCCGTTGCTCCCGGAGAGGAGCGCCTCTCCCCGTCGGTTCAGCGCTGGGTTCCTGCGCGGAGCAGCAGGGTTGGGTCGCCGCAGCAATGCCCTGCGAAATTCGGACGCGGAACGGCGGAAGTGAAGGGAAGCGGGAACTCACGGGCGGCGAGCTGCTCCGGCTCCGGGGTACGGTGGTGCGGAGGAGCGGCTGCCTCGTTCGCTTTGCGCCTTATTAAAAGCCAGGCGCAGCGGGCAGGCTGTGTCGCAGGCTGCTGCTGCCGTGGTCCTAGAGGTTTGGAATTGGAATTCGCCTGATGTGAGATCCGACGGCTGTGGATGCTAGAACAACTAGAAGCGAGCTGCGCCTGGCCCCGAGAGCTGCCTTTCACGCGCAGCGGCGTACGCGACGTCCAGGCAACCGTTGGGGGTCGCGGCGCCCTCGTTTAAAGCCGAAACCGGGACTGGGGACTGCGGTGCAGCGGTGCGCGGCAAAAAAGTCCTCGAGGGCACGCTCGTTTTTCGCCGCGATATCACGGTTTGACGCCGCAGGCGCTTGTCCTGCCGTGAGATTCGGGGAACACGCGAGAAGGTTGGTTTGCCCGGACGAAATCACGAAGCCACCGAACTGATACGTCTGCGCTGCGTTACCCAGGCCGTGCCTTTGGCTCGTTCCGTCGTTCGATAGGGCAAGTTTCTTGGGGTTTGGTGAGGAAAACGCCGAGCGCCCCAGCTTTCGGGCAGTCAGGCTTCTGGACATTTGAAACGTGGGAGCCGTTCCCGCGACCCGGCGCAAAATGACACAGCGGTAGGTTCGTCCGCATACTGCTTTTGCTGTTCTTGAGGCGCAGTTAAGCAGCTATCTGCCTGTCTTGTTCTGTTTCTTCTTTGGGCAAACTTGCAGTCACACTAGTACAGCTCCATGACCAATAGTTCTAGGGTAAAGCTCCAAAATCATTTATGTATATTAACTTATATCGTATAACTTATAACTTACAATTTATGCACACAAGTTATATTGAATGACTTATGTACATAAGTTGTATAGAATAATTTATGCACACAAGTTTTGTTTGATAATTTTTTTACATAAGTTTTGTTTCATTACTTTTGTGTTTATAAGTTTTGGTATAAGTTATAAATTAATTTGTCCCTTTGTGTGTTAATAACTTTTATTTTTGCAAGTTTTGACACAAGTTATAAGTTAATTCATTCCTTTGTGTTTAATAATTTTTTTGTAATAAGTTGTCTTTTCATAACTCTTGAGTTTTTAAGTTTTTTGCGTAAGTTATATGTTATAAGTTACATGTTATAAGTTATAAGTCAATACACATAAATTGTTAATAGGAAAAAAATTGTTCGAAACATATACAAATGGGGTCTAGTTTTGTTCTCCTCGTCGCGTAGAACACACCAGTGCAGACGGAATTAAAAACAGATACACCGTTTAGAAGTTATAGCAATTTGAATTAAATGTTTTTGCTTTTTTTTCGCCCGCGTCAGTGCTGACGTGAGCATGCAGGGGATGAGCGCGTGCGCAGCCGAGAACCCAAAAGATAAAGAAGCACACCCGCGCCATCCAAATCGGGAAAAGATGGAATTATTTTCTTCTAAAAAAGGAAACATAAGCATGTCGAAAATTTGATCGCAACGTTCGTCATTTAGTCTGGTCATAAAAAATTACTCCGTCCGTTTCAAATTATAAGTCGCTTTGACTTTTTTAGTATATCTATTTTGCTATGCCCTATGCATCTAGATATAATAATATGTCTAGATACATATAGCAAAATGTATGAACAAAAAAATCAAAGCGACTTATAATTTAGAGCGGAGGGAGTACATGATTTGTAATATCCAACCATGCAACAGCTTTTGAAAACCATAGTATTTTACAAAATTGTAGCATGTCCAATACTCAAAAATAGTATTTTGCTTCAAACGTGACCCTTTTTCTTCTGCGAGGTAAAAAGAAACATAGGGTATTCTTTCTTAGAGCATCTCCGCGAACGGCGCCTAGATCGGATGATCAAGGCGTTCTAGTAGCACTCTGACGATCCAGGTTCGATCCCCCACGGGAACGCGATCGCTATGCGGAGGTAAAAAAATCATCCACAGTTCTAAGGACCGGCCCACTCACAGGACAGCAGTGCCACTCTATATGGCTAGGGCATGAGGTTCGGAGATTTTCTCGGCCTACGTGAGAGGTCTTCTACCTTAACTAGAATGCTCGGGGGCGTCTTCCCCCGCAAATCGAGCGCTTTTTCTTAGAGCATCTCCAATAGTTCCTAAAAAAACAATTGGTAAATCAATGAGATTTTCAAGTGGCTAAAAGAAGTTGAGAGTATATTTGTTGGGCTTCTCCAATAGTTTCCAAAATACCACTCCTAAAATATAGAAGACAATTTTGCATCAGGATTCCTAAACTATTTTTAAATCACGATAACTGCTTTTATACTTTCTTTCTCTCTTGTACATTTCCATTGAGATCATGTCTTGCTCTTTATTCTTCTCTACATCCTTTCACCTGCAGATTGGCCGATCGATACACGCGCAGATATTTCTGCATGACTAGATCGATTTTCCCAAGTGCGGAATGATTGTTAGTTAAGATAGGGAGTTATTGGAGAGCAATTGTTTCAATCTTCTATAAAATCAAGATTGGGAGTGGGTTTTGGAAATTCTTGGAGAATTGGAGATGCTCTTAGTGTTGGGCCAAAGTGGTGTCTTCTTACCGGTGGCAACTTTGGACCATGACATTGTTGACGGTCTCTACAACAAGAATAAACCATCAATTTTACCTGCACTTATCCTTAAAATCAATCACCAAACATAGGTTAGAGGTTTTAAACTAATGAATTCCACAAGTCATGGTGAATATTTGTATATAGGTTGATTTATTCAGAAAACAGGCCATGTGGGCCATGCTACGTCAGTAATATAAAGTTATCCACAATGGAACCGACTCCAAGGACCTCTAATCCATCATCAAAGAGAAACCGCCAAAGGTCAATGCAGACGGAGGAGAGGTGGGGTCAGCCGACCCCACCACCAGGTCGACCGACCAGTGGGCCAGGCTTGTCGGTCTCCCCTTCGACGTGGAGTCTCCACCGCCTTTGAGGATATCTCCATAGTGATTCAAGGGTGGTTCATATCGAGGGACGAGATGGATCGTTGCCATAGATTCATGGGCCCATAGGGTGCCATGTGCCCCCTATAAAAGGACCCCAGACCCCCTCCAGGAAGGCATCTCGATTCAATTCATTCGAGTTCCATTCAAAGAAGAGAATAACTCCCACAAACCACTATAGAATAGGCATAGTTAGTCAAGTTAGGTTAAGTAGAGTCGGGCTACTGCTCGGATTTTGGACTTAGTCACCGAAGGCTTGTATAGCCCTTGTATCCATTATATTTATCTTATTCAATTCAATGACTTTCGCCCGGTTCTTCAGCACTACTTTAGCAATACTTTTTAGCGAACGAACAGTATTTTTTCTCACAACAAATCAAACAGGGCCTTTGATCTTCATCTATATTATGTTCTTAGTTATCATGTTCATAGTATGCTTTGATTATATGTTTAGTATAGTCAAAATTAGCATTATATTTATGCATAGGATCACAGAGTGCTCTTCTCAGTGTTCGAACGAGTTGAGTAGTCACATAGTATATAAGTGTGGTGCTTATATATTGTTTTGCCTGTGGATGCACCCTACATTCCAGAACGTGTGGTAGATCGCGGGGGTGACAGCCTCATTGATCCTTTGTAATCCATCTCCCGTCTGTAGGACTAGTAGTACCCGTGTCATGAGGGAGGTAGTATATTTTGCTATGCTCCTCCTTAGAGATGTCCCTTATGCATAAGTATAAAGTTAATATTTTGCTATTGCTAAGTATATAAAGATGGTAACATGCTATGACTTGTAATTAAGAATGACTTAGGAATTTATCTCACTTGTATGTAACTTAGACTAGCTATTGATATCTTATGGTGTCTCTCTCTGAATGTTAAACTTATCATATACATCTATCTTTTGGTTTACCCCTGCTTAAAGTAAGTGATTAGTTACTTGATACATGCTAAGTATAAGTTATCAATCTCTTTAACGCCATCGTCCCTCCTTGTGGTAAAAATATAAATAACGATACTTGAAATACTTCTGGTAAAATGCTATAATGGTATTTTGTGCACTTGAGGAATTCTTATTTTCTAATGTGCACTCATAAATACCAACAGACACCATTTGGGGAAAACATTTATACGATTAGTCTATTTGTCGGTGCGAAAAGTGACAAACTAGTAAATATTTGTCATTTTGCCATACATTGTGATCAGATGTGGCCTAGCACTCAATGACACAGGGTTTATACTGGTTCAGGTAACGTGCCCTACGTCCAGTTTGAGTCGGTTGGTGACTTTATTCCTGAGCCCAGGTGCTCGAAGTTTGCTGTGGGGTTACAAACAAGTGGGAGTAAGATGGAGGGTATCAGAGGTCCGGCCGGACTCTGGACCAAAGGGCCGAGAGTGATGGGAGTTTCTTCATGAGCTAAGTATTGGAACATATGCTCTGTGTAGCTTTAGAATGTCTAAAGCTAGCAGAGAGTGGGTCAGAATGATCCGTGTGTCGTCTATTGTTTGTCGAATCGATCCTCTTCTTTGGGAGAGGTCGCATCCCCTTTTATAGATGAAGGGGATGGCCTTACAAGTGTGAGAGAGAGGGAGTGTGTGCTACCTAGTCTTGTTGCCCATGCTGTCGGGTACGAGATGGTTTGTCGGTGCCTACAATACTATTGATGCCCTGATGCATGTGGTTGGTTCCATCGTGTTCTTCTGGTATGGTGAATGTCGGCGTCTACCATACTATAGGACAAATGTCGGTGCCGACAACACTGTTTGTGTCCTGCCATGTTAGGAGGTTGCAAAGTACGCTTCTGACATGGCCTAACAGTACTTTCCTGTAGGTGTGCAGGGTACGGTCCTCAG